GGAACGATTCTGACAGGAACGATTCTGTCAGGAACGATTCTGTCAGGAACGATTCTGTCAGGAATGATTCTGTCAGGGACACGTTTCTGTCAAATACATGTTTCTGACAGGAACGATTCTGCAGCAGCTCCGGTGGAGAACCGGGAAGAGTCGGGGACCGGCAGAGCTCCATCTAGCTCGCTCTGAATTTTGTTGTTGGTCATAAACACAAAAAATGCCTGGACTTCATCATTAGACCACAGTGTTGACATTATTGTTTTTAAAATCTTTAAAATAGATCCAGCCGCTGCTCCAAGTTTTGAGTAATTGCAAATGGCAGATCCAGTGACTGCCCCCGGATCAGTCAGTGGCCGACAGTGTTCTGACGTCACGTTTTGGTGCGGCTCGCTTGGCCCCCTTGAGAAGAAGGGACTGAAAAAGGGGTAGGTCCAGTGAAAAAGTGAGTGGAAAAGCGCCCAAACCCGTACCGAACTGACCCGAACCAAGCTGAAGAGGAGCTATGGAAAAGGCCCATATGAGTGTACTCACTCCTGACGGTGGCGGTTCTGGTGCAGTTGTAGAGGATGGCCAGCTCTCCAAACACTCGTCCTGGTCCCATAGTGCACAGCTTCATGCCTTCTTTGGTCACCTCTACCTTCCCATCTGTACGGATAGAACACCTTCAGCTCAGAGAGCATCATGGGAAATCTATATGTAAATATCGGTTTGCTAAAAGTTCAACATTTTACAAGTTTTTTAAAAGAGAGAAACAAAGATTTCTGAACCTCTTCCAAATCTGACAGAGATGATTTACCATCAACTAAATGTAGTGAACAACGTATGATAAGGAAAATTTTAAACTAATGAAAAAATAAATTTGTCATAATGAGAAAAGAAAATGTATGACAAGAACTTAAAACTAAGATGAGAAGATAAAACCATGAGAAGATAAAACCATGAGGAGCATGAAAACAGTTCTCAGTGAAACATGATCAGCTGCTTTGATTCAGTTTGATGAGATCAACCATCAGAAAAAAATCACAAATCATTTACTTCTTGATCTGACATGAAAACACGTTTCCTGTGTGTGTGTGTTGTGTGTGTGTGTTTCTGGATCTTTTGTGTGTTTGTGTTGTGTGTGTGCATTGTGTTGTGTGTGTGTGTTGTGTGTGTGTTTCTGTTTCTTTTGTGTGTTTGTGTTGTGTGTGTGTTG